TGAATAACAAGATTTGAACGAAATAGTAAAACTCATAGCTCCGGACGGGCTGTCGGTCGGGATTGCCTTCAATCAGATTCAGGTTAGGCTTACACTGTCTGTTGAGGAGTTGGGTTCTACCAAATGGCGTCAATTTGGGAGTTCCGTCCCTCTCCTCATACAACGCTTGCGGTCGGTGTCTGAGAGGAGTGCACTCATTGTTGGTCTCATCAATAGTTTGATTTGCAAAGAGGTCCGACTCGTGGGCCGGCATTTCAAACAGTACTGACAATTGTGTGGACGCTATTTGTAAGTGATTTTTGGTCTTACTTTTGTCCACTAAAATCCTTTTATTCTCATCCGTTTTAGTCATATCTTCGGTTATCTGAAAGAATGATGTCATGTATTGAATGAATGAAAGGCCAGAAATAGTGGACTCTTCCGACATCTGGGCCTTTGTTATCATTTCCGATATACTAAACAATGCTTTGGATATTTCGTTCAAAAGTTGTAAAATCAAAGGTTTGATCGCTGGGCAGAAGAGTGGGATGTATTCAAAAGTATTAGATTCCGATTCCATTAACGGATGTCTCATATTTCCGACCAAAGAGTTAACATTTTGTTGGCGTAATGTCGGCGACAATAGACTCGCCCTCGAGTTTGTGGCCCAACTATTTTGCAAGAAACTGGTGGCCGTCGAGTCACTACTCATGAGTGAATTCTCCGCTTCTCTGATCCAAAGCGCGAGGTTTTGTTGAGAGAAGACTTTCGTGAGTCTGAAAAGCATTAATGCGTTTTTCGACGAATTCAAGTCCAATACGCGTGAGAATCGTGGGATCAGTTGACGGAATATTACCGAATAAAACAATAGATTGTCTGAAATGAATTGTTTCCACTGATTGTCAGTGAGACTGATCTCTTGCTTCACGTCTTTGTCGTCGGTGTTTGTCTGACTGGCTGTGGCGCTGGTGTAACGCCAGGGCTGTATATAACTGAGCCACGTCTCCAACGGCAGTCGGAACGATGTGTCGTTCGGCCACCGATCGAATGATAACCGGAGGAATGTATACAATCTCTTCTGAACGGCCGACGAGATGGACGACCTCTTTGTTGCCCAACGGATCCAAACGACACGTTTCGATGATTGAGACGAGAGTCTCGTTACACTTCTTCGTGTATTCGGCGATCAGTTTGCATGTCTTGAGACAATTCTTCAGATGATTGATCTCTTGTCTCATCGCAACCAACTCTCGTTGACATTCGCACCAAATGTCGGTCAGTTTGATGTGGACTGACATCACCTGAAGCGAAGACATCATCAAATTGATCCCATTTACAGCTTTATTCACATCAAAATTAAATGAACCAAAAATATAAACATTTAATGTTTACAATATTATAGGCTTTTTGAGCGCTATTTTCAAATATACACTCAATTGAGTCCTATATTTATAAGTTATGTAAATTTAAACATAATTTTAATGTAATTTCAATGAATGTCACAAATGTTTTACACAAAAAAAAAACACAAAATTTGCAAAAATTAATGAGTGTTTCGTTGATTGAAATGTTGAGTAAATTCAATGCAATGAAGAGTTTGTGTAAAATAATGGACAAAATTCAGTGTATTTTGAATACAAATAAATTATTTGAAATAATAGTGTTTTGTGAAAATGATATGCTTAAATTTTATATGTGCCTGGATATAATCTCCTAATCAAAGTCACTGATCCACTGTTTTTCTAAAAATTAGTGCCTGGTTCAATTGTTTGTTTTACTTTCAAATTCAACTAATCCGTGAAATTTGCCCTCATTTTTAGATAAATTCACACAAACTTTCTTATGTTATTCACATTAGCAGCTCCTCCAACCCCTCCAACCCTTAACCCTATACCTAAATCCTATTCATTTAATAGATTGTGATTAACTAATAGATGGGTTAATCATTGATATGCCATTGAAATTGTACGGCACGTAAATTGAATGCAATTCATTGATTGTTTAATTGTTATAAAAGTCCGTTGAATAAAATGCTTATAATTGATAACAGTTTGAAAATACTGTATAAATTTAGTTGATCTAATAATTTGAAATATTTAGTTAAAATTGAATAAATGGTTAGAAATATGTTAAAAATATGTGTTTTAATAGTGTTGATAGCGTTTAAGGTAATAGAAAGTTCGCCAACGGCTGACATGAGAGATGGAAAAGCGATGTCAAGGGAGTCATCGAAAGGGGTGATGCGAATCCGTCATTCGTTTGTCTTCTCGATGACCACATTTCTGGTGTTCGGTATTCTCACCGCTATTCTCATTATATTAGTTCTTTGCATTGGCTTTCGTGCACTACTTCTGGCATTTTATATGAACTTTTTCCACACCGAAACCCCAGCACTAGTCATACCCCCGCCTCCCAAACCTCTTCCCGACAAACCCTATAATGAATCGCAAGCAGAAGAAGAGATGAATGGCATTAAAAGTGATAACAAATGCATGAAAACTACAGACAATTTGAATGAAATGAACAAAAATGATGACAAAAGTAATGAAAATAAAGTGGAGAAACAGATGAGTTGTGAAAATAAATCCGATCAACAAATGACAGGAATTGCTTAATATGTTGTCATTCGTCTCATTAATAATTATTTGACATAAAATTTGAATAAAAGTTCAAAACTATTGTTAGAAAACAAATTTACTAAATATCACATTTATAGAACATGTTACAAAAGGTATAATAATTTCTGCATATTGTTATGTTGTATCAGGTACAGTGTAAATACAATTCATATTTGCATCAATCCTTAAATAAATATATGTTAATATAATCACTGATTGTTATAATTAAAACATTAAATGCTTATAACCTATACTTTATTGCGAAACAAATGCGATACTAAGCCATCGATTTGTTCACTCGTATATAATTGTGAATGACTTGCCATCAAATGATTTCTATAATCAGTAAATAAATTAGTTTTATATTCACAATGAGTGCACGGATAGACATAAAGGCCTTCGTGTTTCTTAGTCTTCAGAATATGTTTTCTTATATTTTCCTGAGAATTGCAAACATAACTAAAATAAAAGACAACAATTGAAAAGTACAACATTTATTAGGCATTAGTCTCTTTAAAAGTGATTAAAATACCTGCAATACGGGCAATGATATGGTTTAACTCCCGTATGAATTCGCAAATGTCTATTCAAATTAGAGCTGACGTATGCCTTGAAATCGCAAAACTCGCACTCAAACGGCTTATCGCCGGTGTGTTGCCTATAATGCTTACGGAGTGCGGACACAGACTTTGTTTTGTATCCGCATTGATCGCAAAGCAATACCTTATCGTCGGTCGACGTGTGCACTCTCTGGTGCGCCAAAAGTTCAGAATTGTTGACAAAAGCGTAACGACAGTCGGGAAACTCGCATTTGAACGGACGGTCGGCTTTCGGTAAATGCCTTTTCATATGAGACTCAAGTATAGGCTTAGAGTAAAACTGAGCGCCGCAGACATTGCACGTCACGTTTCGGTCGCGGTTTGAATCGTGTGTTTTCATATGAGTCTTAAGCAATTTGTTTAACGCAAACCGCGCGCCACACGTCCCGCAGACCTTGTCTTTGATACTCGAGTGGGTCTTCTCGTGGTTTCGAAGATACACTAATTTGGAGAACTTTTTCTCGCAAACTATGCATTCAAATGGATTCTCATTTAAATGAATGTTTATGTGTTGTTTGAGTTCGCGACAGATATAGGCGTTGTTACAAACGGGACAATTGTACTTGTCTTCGGTTCGCCGGATGTGATGCTTTTTAAATGTATTTCTTGTCTTAAAATCAGTGTTAGTATCGGTGATAGGAGTGGACGGCACCGGCAGTTCGTGATTCATGGAGTGAAGCAAATGAGTCGATTGTTTATCTGTTTTGAAGTCACACTTAAGACAACAATACTGGGGATTATCGCCAATGAAATTACTTTTGATGAGATCCGGAAACGCAACTCTTCGTATGTGTTGACTAATTGTGTGTCTCTTCAGATGTGACTTAAAGTTGAATACAATTCCACAGAAATCGCATACAAAACGATTGTTCAAACCATTCACTAAATTATCACATTTTTTCTTAATTTTGTAGAGTTTGAAGACAATTAAAGGACCGGAACTGTTGACATGAATCGACTGATTGCTCTCCATGTGAGCCATTAGTTTCTCGACGTCATCGCAGGTCTCACAGCATATCTGACACTCGAAATGAGTGTTACGTGAGTTAACTTTGGAGTTGTGTTGGGATGTAGTCAAGTGCCAGAAGTAGGTATTGGATTGATTCGTATAAAACGAACAGATCTGACAAATGAAAGACAACCTCTTCATAAGATTTGTCTCATTTTGAGCGATTGAATCCAAACTGAAGACATCAACTGATGAGTGATTGCTTGTATTGAGATAATGTTTGAGTAAATCAAATGAATTAATTGCTTTAAAATCACATAATTTGCAAATCAATTCATTTTCATTCAAATCATTGTTATTGCAAACAATTTCTTCATTTAGACAGTAATTGTTATCAAAGAGAGATTCGTTAATCACTTGATTGCTGAGACCAACCAATTGTTTGCCACTTTTTGAATGACTGGCCGTATAATTGTTAGGACTCTTGTCGGTAAACAATTGGTCGCTTTCTTCGGCTGAGCTTTTAATCGATTGATTAGACGTTCGTCTCTTGTGGTGACCGTAAAACTCGGATCCATCGGATGAAGAGTCGGTAACATATGATGAGATAATTGGGACGTTTGAGCGATGAGTACTCGACACCTGTGGATGACTTCCGGGTTTCCATTTGCCGCCTAAACAGACAAAAGAGTTCCCAAAATGTGATCACAAATAATCAGATATAAGTGGAATCGATGGACAAAATACCGGTGAAGTTATTGGGCGGACGGTATATATCGACCTCTTCTTCGGACACCTCTTCGTCGGTATTATTGAAGGAGAGATTGCCATCACTTGTGCCACTCCTCGCACTCCTGTTGTCGTCCACGTCTTCCTCTTCTTCGTCATCGATGTCCTCATCGTTTGAATGGCTTTTGTATTTGCATTGAAGCTGAAGATGATTGAAGTACTTGTGGGCACTCATGGGCTCACAGTTACCACTCTTCCTGTGCTCCACATAATTGTCTAAACCATTGATTGTTTGCTTACAACGAATGCAAATGTGATTGTCTTCAGTCGTGTCCATTGAATTCATGTTGATTTTGATGCCAAAACTCTTGGGATCTAAACCACAATCACATCACAAATAATGCGACAAACTTTCAAAGCAATCAAAAACTTTGAGTTTGTTTACAAAATATATATCATTCATATATAATATTTCATTTTCTACCATTTTATGGCCCACTTTCCATACAAATGCTGCCCATTATATTGGCAATACATTGGCATCTATACAACCCCTCCCCCTCTTAAATATAACTCTATATGTGTACAAAATCCTATAATAAAACATTACTATTTTCTGTTCATATATAACGTAATAAAATAATAATTAACTAAAAGTTTAAAGCATTGAGTTTTGAGGTGTTGTGTGAATAGGGGTTGTGTTTATGCGGTTGTTATGAAGACATCATTTATTAATACTATTTAAATAAAAATCGTTTGTTTTTGAAATGCTTTTTGACTTTTAAAGTGTTGTTTAATTTGAAAATTTTTAATAAACAATTGATTTTAAACTCGATTTCAATTGCAATTAATATCTGGAAAGCAATGAATTATTCCAACAATTATTCGTTTAATAATTCAAACGTAAACTCAATTCCAGTCAGTATTTGATTCACATTTTAATATATATTAAATTGATATCAATTTTGAAAATTAACTTTTTTTGCACTTAATTTGCTTTGAATTCAGTTTCAAATGAGATTTGAAAGTTGTCTTAAAGAGCCGATTGTGGCGAAGTGTCATCAGTTGTCTCAACTGATCCACGAGTCGATTACTAGTAATCTTAAGGTGAGATTTGGGCTGTAATTGACATGAAATTGATTTCTAATTTGATATGAATTGACAGGAAATTCAAAACAATTACATCTCATTGGTTGAGGACATCTTCGGAATCGGTGTTCACGCGATGTCCACCGACTGGTCTCTCAAACTCATTACCCGAAACTATAGCCCCCGAGAGTTTGACACAATCTATGCATTTCTTCACCAAAACGGACCACTCTTTCAGCTGATCCGACAACTGATGAACGATCCGTCATATCGTTATGAGTTCCCAAAGAAATACCTTCCGGTGAGTGACAACTGAATGGCCATAATTTGATAGCCATTAATGGCAACGATTACTATGTTTTAGGCGCCGACCAAACTATCGCTCGACGAAGGAGTGGTTCCCAGTGTTTACGCCAACAAAATATCTCACGCCTTATCCAACACTATATCTGTGAACGCATTCGAGTTCTTCGTCTATCACTTCTCGTACCACATGTTGAACAACAGTCCAACACTTTATAGTCAACGAAATCCATACTATTTTGAGCACTTGAATAACGCCAACACTAACCCATCAAATATTGTCTATTTCGCACTCTTGGAGTCTTATCTCAATTATTTGATCCCATTGTCCTCCAATCAGGAGACGTCTCATCAGAGCCCCAACTCTCAGTCCAGTATTTGGCAGTCCCTGTCGTCGACCACATCGAGTCTTCTTCATTTGGGAACCGCTGCCAACAGTTCGGTGTCCGCTAAACCAATGCCCGCTTCGCCGCAGACTTCAACTCTATTCAAGTCATCGATACTTAATTTGAAGCCATTGTTAAGCGGAGGACACGAACACCACAGCAATGAACAGTTGTCTAACCGTACAGTTCAGGACTCTTTGGGCTCTGAAATCGTGAAATGCGAAACATTTCTCATGATATTGACTGAGATATGGTTCAATCACGCCATACCTCACGCGTTGGCCAAAAGACACAACAGTCCATCAAAACAGCAGTCATTTTCTCCCAATTCAGACCACATGAGAGCCGTGAGAATTCTGGTCAAACATTTGCATTACTTCGCCAACAGTTGCGTCAAACAGACCAACGAGTCGTTGAATTGTATGGATTCGCCGCTCAATGACTTGAAGCGCTCCATTTGGTCGCATAAGTACTTCTATCAGAAGAGATTGTATACATTCCTCCGGTTATCATTCGATCGGTGGCCGAACGACACATCGTTCCGACTGCCGTTGGAGACGTGGCTCAGTTATATACAGCCCTGGCGTTACACCAGCGCCACAGCCGGTCAGACAAACACCGACGACAAAGACGTGAAGCAAGAGATCAGTCTCACTGACAATCAGTGGAAACAATTCATTTCAGACAACCTATTGTTTTATTCGGTAATATTCCGTCAACTGATCCCACGATTCTCACGCGTATTGGACTTGAATTCGTCTAAAAACGCATTAATGCTCTTCAGACTCACGAAAGTCTTCTCTCAACAAAACCTCGCGCTTTGGATCAGAGAAGCGGAGAATTCACTCATGAGTAGTGACCCGACGGCCACCAGTTTCTTGCAAAATAGTTGGGCCACAAACTCGAGGGCGAGTCTATTATCGCCGACATTACGCCAACAAAATGTTAACTCTTTGGCCGGAAATATGAGACATCCGTTAATGGAATCGGAATCTAATACTTTTGAATACATCCCACTCTTCTGCCCAGCGATTAAACCTTTGATTTTACAACTTTTGAACGAAATATCCAAAGCATTGTTTAGTATATCGGAAATGATAACAAAGGCTCAGTTGTCGGAAGAGTCGACTATTTCTGGTCTTTCATTCATTCAATACATGACATCATTCTTTCAGATAACCGAAGATATGACTAAAACGGATGAGAATAAGAGGATTTTAGTCGACAAAAGTAAGACCAAAAATCACTTACAAATAGCGTCCACACAATTGTCAGCACTGTTTGAAATGCCGGCCCACGAGTCGGACCTCTTTGCAAATGAAACCATTGATGAGACCAACAATGAGTGCACTCCTCTCAGACACCGACCGCAAGCGCTGTATGAGGAGAGGGACGGAACTCCCAAATTGACACCATTTGGTAGAACCCAACTCCTCAACAGACAGTGTAAGCCTAACCTGAATCTGATTGAAGGCAATCCCGACCGACAGCCCGTCCGGAGCTATGAGTTTTACTATTTCGTTCAAATCTTGTTATTCATCTCCGATTGGATTAATCAAAGATATGGACAACAAATTCACAATTTATATAATAGACAGGGATTTGTGGGCATATTTGTGAAGCAAGTGATTACTGGTCCCACATATTACGTACGGATCGTCAAGTCTGGAACCGCTTACAGACCACCCGATAGAGTGACCGAAATGTTGAATCCGAGAATCAGTTTGCGATTTATGGCTAATAAACTCTATATGATGTATGCGTTGGCGGTGTTGACAATCGTTTATCTATTTAATTATAGTTTGTTTTCATTTTCATCGCTAATGTTTGCCATGTATTTCACGTATTTGTCAACGAAAACGGTTTTATATTATTTCAGTAGTCATTAAAACTTCCGAAACATTAATTGATTTTTATATCAATCCAAAACTTAATGATAATTATTTCGATGTATTGTTTTAAATAAATTTTAATGTATTATTAAATGTGTGTCCAAACAAATGGCAATTTTATAATAACAATGCAAATGTTGTAATAAAATAACAATATTTTCTTAATTAAAGAATTACAACCACATAACGAAATGGTAATTTGATTAATAATTCATCTTCTATTTAATTGATTCATTAAAAATATTTAAAACAATTAGTATATAATTAATGAATAAATTCATCCAAACTGTTGAGAAAAACATTTAACTTAAGATTATTTAAAGAGAATATAAAAGTAGTGATTCAATCACCGATTCAATCAAGTGTTATCATATCGTAATTATCATCGCTTTGCGGGACAATTGTCTCGAATATTTGCTCCACTTCTGGAGTTGGATCAGCCAATGGTTGCAATGGTTTAATACTCTCTTCAATCGTCTCACTCTCGTCCGAGACCTGAAAGTGAACGTATTTGAAGTGCAGATCCAATCCCTGAGCGCTTCCCAAATCCACATTACAGATATCACAACGAGTCGAGTGGTCGTCTTCATCGTACGCCTCTTCGGGTGATACGCCCTCCTCTTCCATGTCCTCAGGCAATACGCCCTCTTCCAGCTCTTCAGGCGATGTGTCGTCGACCAAGTCTTCGGACTCGGTTTCAAGTGCTTCCACTTTGGCTTTGATTTCTCGATTATGTTCGGCGTTCAAGTGTTCCCGAAGACGAAGCGGTGAATCAAACCATTTGCCGCAACCGTTTCGGCGACAAAAATAGCTGTTCGGTTGCGGATCAAGCGATTGACTCGACGTTAACGACGGAAACGATGCGTTGAATATCTCGGGATTGATTGTCAACATATCAGTGGATGGCTTGAGAAGACTTGTGCCCTCCCGTGTTGTGTCGTTTCTATGGACTTTAGTTCGGTGTCGTTTCATATTGCTCTTATTGTTGAACACTTGGCCGCAATCGGGACACCGACTCATTCCTTCAGTCAAACAAATTAGTGACTCGTCTTTGATATTCTTATGGCATTTATTGAAGTGAAATGTCATAACTGCTCGCAATTTGAATTTTTGGCGGCACTTAATGTACGGACATTTGGCAAAATAGTTAGCATTTGTTGGATTGGTTTCGATTTGCGGTTTCGATAACATATTCATTAACTCCGAACCAAACATATGATTGTTCGGACTCTTGGACTCCACGACTGTGTTTGTCATTTGAGGGTCGCTTCCGTTACTCATATGCTGTGCAGATATCATGTGTTGGACGCGAAGATTCGGTGTTTTAAACATTTCCTGACAAAACTCGCAGTCGTAAGAGACGTGTCGTTTAGATCTTTGGTGTGCCTTAAGTTGACTGTGTTTTGAATACGACTTCTGACAGCGAATGCATTTGAAACGCGGCTTCTCTTTGCTTTGATGCCAATCGTTGTGTTTAACCCATTCCTCGGAGTTATTGCAACTAAAATCACAGTCCTTTTCATCGCATTTGAACAACGAATTCATTATTCGTTTGCTTAGAGAAAGCGAAGACTTTGGTTTGCTTTCATTTGATCCAAACTCTTGCTTCACAACATAATTGCTATCACTTGTCGTTCCACTCGTTTCTATTTCAATGTCAGACAATTTGATCCCTTTTTCCCTAAATTGATAAAATTGGTTATAAAATATAAAAATAGCGTTTAAACTAAAAAATAATACTTCTTTATGTAATGCATGACAACGTGTTTCTGAAGATCGTCCAAATCATCGGTAGTGAACCGGCAATCGTCGTGTGGACACGTGTGTTGTTCGCTAATAGTGGGCTTTAAATCCTCAAAAGCCGTCGCATTTCTACCGTAAGTGTTGGGTCGAGAAATCTTGTGGGAAGAGAGGACGTGACGCCTCAAATCTGATGGCCATCGAAATTCTTTTGAACATTGAGTGCATTGATTTTGGTAATTCCGTTTGGGAAGTGTTGTCGACATCACCACTGATTTGTGATTATTTTTTTGGTGATTCGTTAAATGAGAAGTTCGCCCAAAGCTTGCATCACATTCAGTGCACTTAAAGGGCAATTCCCGGGAATGTATTGCCATATGTTTTTTAAGTTTGGTGAACCCGCCACGGGTGACAAATGAGCATTTAGTGCATCGCAACGGCAGTCCATTGGTCTTTACGGGAGACTGTAATGCCGTTAAACGCTTAGCAATGCTTGTAGTTTGAGTCGATGGGTTTGGGCCGCTCTGTGGTCTCGTTGGAGAACCAAAAGCCTGTGGTTTGGACTCCGTTTTTGGTGAAGCGATGGATCGCAGGCCGTGTTTGGCCCGAAGATGTTTGTTGAGAGTCCCAACGCCCCAAATGGTTGTGTAGTCGCAACCATTGAAAGTGCAGCGCTCTATGCGTTTGCTCTTCAAAAAGCTGCTAATTTTCTGTTGAGTGGAACCAACTTTTTGTCCGAAATTCACTTTAACTGTATTTCCTTTAAATGGTTTATTCCGATGCGTTCTTTTGATGTGTTTCTGTAGATTCGCTCTCAAACTCTTCCCAGAAGTAGTCGTATAATTACAGCCAGTGTACGGACAGTGGAGTCCACGGGATCCCTCACTGCGCGCCACAGCACTTGGTTTAGCAGCGGTGGGCGCCGAAGTAGTGACCGCCACAGCGTTGCCATGGATTAGTCTCGTGTGTTCGTCGATACCCAGTTGTCCTCTACTGGTGCGAAACCTGCAGTCTTTATAACGACAACCAATTGTCTGTTTGCGGCTTTTGGGACAACTTTTTGATCTAATGATTGGCCCATTATTTGTGAGATTTTCGATCTCTTTCGACGATAACTTTGTGAATAAATTTCTTTCCGCTGTTTGTTATATAAGAATATAATAATTACTATTTTAGTAAACTTTAAAATCGGTTATAAATGCTATAGAAATTAAATTATATGACAAATACAAACCATTCCTATAGGCCAGCGATGGTGGAGAATAGGGAACCATTGGATTACTACTGATTGACTCGTTGTCGCTATCATTTCCAATAGTATTGTCCACATATTTAATGCACGGAAAGCGTGGATAACTAGTAATACTATTTGTGAGATCTAATTGTTTGATCCAATTATTTAAGTCCTGCCGAATGTCCCGATAATTGACTCTCAACTCTTCAACAGTGAGTTCTCGCTCTTCAGGAACAGGTATAACATTGATATCGTTGACCAAATCCTCGTGCATCTCATCGATTCCTGGATCAGGTAAGCCCGGGTCAGGTAATGCCGGTTCAGGCACTGCCGGGTCTATCAATGCCGGGTCAGGTAATCCCGGAACAGGTATTTCTGGTTCAGGTATCGCCGGTTTGATTATCGGCTCTTCGTGTGTGACCTCGACGTTATTCTTGGGACCAAATTTATGCGGATATATGGCCTCGTCTTCCACTTCTGGTGTCCAAATATCTCTGGAGCGGACACTCGATGGTCGGGATTCGCAATCACTTTCTATATCATGTGTGAGTGCATCGATCGCATCCACAAAAGAGATTGAGCCACAACTGGTGTCCAAGCGATCGATGATCTGTTCCAAGACGTGAAGACTAGCGATGGAGAGTCTGTGGATGTGATTGAAGGCATTGTTTTGGTGGTGAGAAACCAACTGTTGGTCACGAAGTAACACATTTTGACGCTTCAGTCGGTCCGCCACTCGTGACAAATGGTCGCAATTGAGACACCCGTTGGTCACGACTCCCGACTCACCACTCATTACATCCATATGTAGTGAATGTGTGGACAAGACGTCCAACAAAATCAATAATTAGTGAACAAAACACGCGATAATTGAGGCAAATGTGAGTCAATTGTGAACAAAACACTCAATACTATTCGTCTGTCTCTCATAACAACCAATGCTTTCATTTCTATTCAAATACTGTTTTAGCGCTTAAACCAAAACACATTCAAATCTCTCTCTCTCTCTCTCTCTCTCTCTCTCTCTCTCTCTTAATGTAAAACTTTATTTTAAAACTAATTACTTCTTTGGTCTTAAAAAACAATTTTATTATAATTTAATACAAATTCCTGCATAAAGTTTGAAACAATGTTATGTTAATTCTTAGTTGATTCCTGTTGTTCAAAGAGTGGGTAACAGGTCTTCACTTGAGCCCAACTCTTCTTGCCTTTTGCCAAATCACTCACAATAAGAGCCAATTCATCGATCTATACAACAAGTAATCATATATTTTAATTATATTACATTAACTTTAATTACAACAACAATAATACCGGTGCTCTGATCTGTTCCATAGAGTCCCTCTCCCTAAGAGTCGCGCTGTGCGGAGGACTTAGACTATCGAAGTCGATAGTAATGCCAAAAGGAATGGCAATTTCATCGGTTCTGGCATATCGTCTCCCAATAGATCCTCCGCTTTGGTCCACTTTATTGGAGATTTCGTTTTGGGTTAACATTTCCGATATCTTCTTAACATATGGTTTAAAATCTGAATTCCCGCTCAACGGAAGGACAGAGCACTTGATGGGCGCTATAACAGCGGGTAAACTGAGATACGCCCTCTGGTCGGAGCCCTCCCTGACTCGGAAATTGTGTTCCCAAATGGTATACATTATTCTTCCGATTCCGAACGACGGCTCAATCACTCCGGGAGTGATCTCTTCCACGTGTACTGTCTTTTGCAAGCGTCGAATCGTAACCATATCTTTGGTAATCGGGAACTCTTTGCCCTCAATGTTGAGCACGAATTGTCCGCTTTTCTCTAAATCGGATTCGTATTTAAGTATTTCATCGGATTCTAAGTCCTTCAACGTATCGGTGATTATCTTAGCGTCGGTTTTAAATGCCTTTCCTATCAAAGGCTTTTGAGGCACGCATTCGTGGACTTCAATCTGTTGCGGCTCCGGAAGGTCTTTCTCAGCCACGAGTTTCACTCGGGTTGCCTTCGAGTGTTGTGTCAAATCAAAAGCTGATCGATCGGCACACCCGACACACTCGACCCAACCGTAGGACGTGAGGCACTCGGCGTCCCAACAGTCGGTGGCGTAATGAGCCATTTCGTTGGACATGTGTTGTCGGAATCGCAGTCTCTTCGGATCGACGCCCACTTTCGTTAAAAACTGATGAATCCGTGCCATAAAGTAACCCAACGTCTCGTTGGCCACAGTCTTGTTAGCGACAGCCTCTCCAATACAGACCAGTTGTGCAGATTTGCCATCCATTTGACTGCACGCCGGATACAGATTTAGTTTCACATCTTTTATCGCTTCAAACTTCGGATGTAATTTATCGGACGGATCGACAAAGTGCTCGATTTCAGCCATTGTGAACTCTCGCACACGAATGAGTCCACTTCGGGGCGATATCTCATTACGAAAGGCATTACCGATCTGTGCGGCCGCGAAGGGAAGGCGCTTCTGATTGAACTCTAAAAGTCGTTTAAAGTTAACGAATATTCCCTGAGCCGTCTCTGGCCGTAGAAATCCCTTAATAGCACCCGAAGGACCGATAGATGTGCTAAACATTAGGTTGAATTCGATGGCATCCGTCACGTCATTGCCGGTGACCGGAGTCTTGATCTCATACTTGCGAAGCGCGGCATTCATCTCGTCCTTTGAATAGCCGTCTAATTTAATGATCACGTCTTCGTATTCCGCTTTCTTCGCTGCAGTGGTCTTCTTATCGGCCATCAGTTTCTCGAGATGTCCTTTAATGAGATGATCCAAACGAAAACACTCGCCATTCTTCACGTCTTTGACCATCAAATCGGCGAACCGTTCGACGTGTCCAGAAGCCCGAAGAACGGGTTCGGGAGTCAATATAGTACAGTCCACTTCAAGCATCTGTTCCTCGAGTACGAAATGGTTGCGCCAAATGTTCAACAAATTGGTTTTCATCGCACAACCCATAGGCCCGAAGTCGAACTGTCCGGCGATCGCACCGTAAATGGCAAACGACTGGTCAAAGAAGAACCGGCGCTTCAGAAGCTCTTCCAACACCGCTCTGTCAAAACCGACGTCTTTTGGCGCCAGCGATAGCTCCTTGTCTTCCAGAACTTTCTTCCGGGCCTTCAACTCATTGACCGCCTTTTTTATGTCCACATCCGGAGCCGCCGTCTCTTTCAATGACCGCACGATATCACCTGCGGATCAGATTAAACAAACTCTTAAATTAAACAAGTTGTGACATATGGTGGTCATCGATGACCATGTGATGGGTGGACATACCCTGTTGTTTGACGGATATCCTGAGCGGTTCCAGAATAGCGGCCACTTCTGCGTCTGTTTGTGCCATAACTTTGCGGACGTAAAGAATGCGATACTTCGGTGACTTGTTTTTGGCCCAATCTATGGATCTCTTGACGTGATTGAGACAATGGTTTGTGTGTAGACTTCTGGAGACGTGGACTCTATTTGTAATACTTTTATACAAAACTCTTTGCAATTGTTGTGTAAATCCCATACAAAATGCTTACAACAGATCACTTACTCGTGTCTATCACTCACTCTTTGCTCTCGATATACAGGTTTAGGTCATTCAACACAAGCCATGCAATCATTAGACAGTATGGCATAAGTCGTAAGCCGTAAGCCATACCATATGGCAATTACGGACCGGTATTACAACACTATTGCACAGACAGTAGAGGCGCTCAATTCAACTCTCTTTACACCCAATAATAACTTTATTGGCATTACTTTTATAATTAAATTCAGTTATTTTGTGTTGAATATTAAAATCTGAAAATTATTTATTCATTTGATAAAAGAATTACAAAAGCGTTATGTATTGAGAATTTGTAACTATTTTTGCCATCAAATAGTTGTTAAGAATTAAATTTTATTGATCAACTTTTCTGTGCTTTAGTTATATAACTATTGATATCAATAAACTTATGGGAAATAAGGAAATCACAAATTTTTAATTGTTGCAAAATTTCAAGTCTAGTGTTAAAAATTACTCATAAAACAACAAATTTGTCTTTTAATTAATAAAAGCAAATAAAACACAAAATTCAAAGAATTGAAAGAAATAATAAAATCTAGTTAACAGTAAATGCAATGCTCTGTCACTCAATAACTCAATAACTTATGTAATATGAGTTACATTTGTGAGCAAAACAGTAAACATGTGTTGATGTGAATGACGTGACGGCAAATGTGCCACAAATATACTTAATGTTAAGTATTACTTAATTTGATGCCTTAATTGTCTTATCACTTAATTGATGGCCAAAGTGTTGATCCGAGAGTCTTATGGCAATGAAGTTGAGTCCGAAGTGCTGTTCGTTGAGACACCCGATAGACAGACAACCCGTTTGACAATTGTTGACAAACAGAGCCATCAATGGATTACATGGACTTCAATCAAGATTTTCTTTGCGGTTACTTTTTTCACAATTTTAATCATAAGTTCTCTTTAATGGTTACAGTCTTATAGTTGATCCACGCATTCATTGCTTGATTATCATAAATATTACCAAAATCTGTATTTTACTTAATGATTAAGTTTCGGTATTTACACAATATTTAATTCAAAAACTAGTTTAACAATGATTTTAAGTTAAGTTAAAATTTGTAACCAAAGAGTTAAACAAACTTCAATGAATTTGTTGTTTGAATCATGTCTTAAATAACACTTAATTCACTGATTAGTCTGTGTTTCTTCCGGCGGGTTTTCCGGACTCAGTGTCTATCGATTACATTGAATACCAGATATGGGATAGTATTCAAGCGTTTGCCTCCAGTATAATGAATAATTTGGGAACTCATGCCGTACTTAAAGGTTTCAATTCATTCATATCATATGAATATTCAAATTCTGACCATGGGTATGAATATTATATCGGATTAGGTGTAGGCGTTGGCGATTCTAGTGCTACAGTTTTGGCCGCGACTATCACTTGGCTCTTAAGAGGTTTGAGTTTTATAATAATGATTGGATTGAATATTACTGACAATGTGTTGATTAGACGGCACATCAATGAGTGGAAGAATACTCTTCGCATACATTCAAAGCTCTAAACTGGACTCCGATTGCAAGAAATGGAGACTTTTTGCGGATCTAATTAACGACTTATCCATTTTAATTGACTTACTTTCGCCATATTTTTCGCAATACTTTTTATACATGCAATGCTTTTCTGGTGTTTTGAAGTCTTTGGTGGGAACAGCCGGTGGGGCCACTCGTGCGGCACTCACTCAACACGTAATATAATTGCATTGATTTATATTGCATTAAACGTCTCATTCATTGGATAGCAATCGCGACGAAACAATTTGGCGGACGTCTCGGCCAAAGACGGCAGCCAAGAGACGCTCGTAAACCTGACGGCACTTATATGTAGTCTTATTATAGTTCCCGTCGTTTCTACGAATACAAAGTACTGAAACCTATTTATTTGAATATCACTTAAGATTTAATTCATTTCTAGTTTGGTTTGGATTTTATTCGTTTGTTTTACAATACTTCACATTTACGCCAACTATAGAGCCGTAAAGTCTGTCTCATTGGAAACATTCAATTTGAATCGTTTCGCCAGATTTGTTGTTCATTATCTCGAAACAAATGGATCAGTACTGCCGGTGAAGACCATTAATAGACGTGAAAATGTGTGGTTTTTTGCAAAAGACGAGTTTGATGTCTACACCGATAACATTGCAATCGGTGTTTCACTTCAAACTCATTTATCAAATGCCAAACAATTGAATGAATTACTCGTTTTGTACGCTAATAAGGAAACCGATTGTCAGTATATCCTAACGTATGACAAGCAAAACAAATTCCCTATCAATATATCACTGCCGAAGAATTTTGATTCCAAGAATCTCTTAGATTCTGTATTCCAAGCAATTGTGATATTGTTTGCACACAACATGAGTGAAACCAGTGATCAAACTCTTCAACTAATCTCTAATGAAATGAAAAACGATTCGAAAAACACCAAACGTTTACTTGAATTAAGTCGAAAATATACCATCGATTCGATGAGTGAATTGAGTGTCAAAGCAACTGCCGAGGGCTGGGATATGAGTAAAGTGTTGATTACACCAAATGAATGGCGATTTGAGACACAATAAGTTATTTTTAATTTTGTAAATAAGTTCTCAATTGATTTGCTTTCAAAATCTAATGTAATTTATTTTTAAAAATAAATACTTTTTTTTTGAAATGAAATGAATTGTTTTATTAAACATAAAACACAAAAACTTATTGGAAATTTGGTTTTGCTAACATTTACATAAAATAGTACTTTTTTGGGTAAGTTTTGCAAAATTTCGATTTCGAGTGAATTCTTAACCAACAGTTATATAAATTCAATGCAATTGTAATAATAATCGATAAATTTATATAATATTTAGCCTTTTATTCAAAATCAAAAGAAATCAAAACAAAATTTGTTGTAATGAATGAGTTATTGAATTATGAGTTGATTTATGAGTTAATAATTTTTATAATTATATGAATAGAAATGATATAATATTCAGAATAGTATTGAAAATGATATTAACTTATAATTAAACAAAAAAGAAGAAAAAAATCCAAAAAATTAAAGGAGAAAACTATTATAATTTAATTAATAATTTTGTTGTATTTATGTCCGAATCCATTATATCGTTCAGTCGTTTTGGCAAAAACTGAATTAAACTATGTATTAATTTTCGCTTCATTTGCTAAAATACTAAAATTAAACACAAAATTAATAATAGTTGTGCCAAAAATAGAATCAAATTAATTACTTATGTTTCTCATGTTTTTGCAAATCCAATGTCTATCGACTGTTAGACGTGTCAATAATAAAAGTGGTGTTTCCATCGGCGGTGATCTCTCCATTGCCGCCGATCGCCATATTAAGACTGGCGAGAGTGGCCGCGTCCAGAGTGAGCGACCCGTCTTCGTTGAAACAGTTGGCCGGAAGCATAATAGTCTGCTCTCCGCCGCCCACTTCGCCCGACGTGTCCTGCAATTGGTGGCCAACAATGGTTGAGAGGGCGGCGCTGTCTTCGTGTTGTACTTGAATGTCCTGCGGCTCAAAGGCCACAGCGTTTGTGCCGTTCGATGAAATGGTCGACACGTCTGATATGTTGGGCCGAACGAAGTTAAGTGAATTGATTACTTCGGAAACAGCCATTCCCTGCGGCGCCGTTATCTCCATCAGTTCTCCGCTCTCTTGATTCAATATCATAATGACTTGAGTGCCGTCTTCTGATTGGCTGGCAATTCCCTGAGCGGCGGTCAACGCATTCAAGTCGATGACAGGCGCCTGTTGTTGAGTTTGAACTGTCTTTTTAGGCGCTCGCGAGCGACTGCGCGGCGATTTGGGAGTGGGTTTGGCAACAGTAGTGGCCGTCGCCGCCTGTGCTATCAGTTCCAGTTGTTTGTCTTCAGAGGCCTCTTGTTTGACAGTTTTGACGCACTTGTGTCCGGCCAAGTCTTTGGCGCTCTTGAATAACGACGAACAGTGGCCACACTTAATGACTGTATTACTCACTTGAGGTGACCCTAACTTCTGGCCAAAAGATTGCGGTGCTTTGCCTTTAATACCGGCGTTCAGTGGAGACGGAAATTTGATGGGTGTCTGGCCGTCGGGCTTATGGGGAATCGATTGAACGATTGGTGTTTTGGTAGCCGAGGGTCTGCCCGGCATTGGTTTCTGAGGGGCGATGTTCTGAGGGGCAACTCGTTGTATGGATTGATGGGAGCGCTGATGACTGTTCAACATATTTATGTTCCAAAACGCTGTTCACAATTCAAATCGGAGTTTAGATTGCATTTCATAATAGGCTAATGAGTGACACAAACCTTGTTGGCAAACACTGCACTTGTATTCGCTCTTATGGCCCCTATAATGGGTGACAAGCATTGAACGGGTGGTAATGGTTCGGCCGCAGTCCTCCCAATTGCAGACAATGGGGTCCTGATGTACTTCCATGTGTGCGTTCAACTGTTCCCTATTATAAAACTTTTTGATACATTTTTTGCACTCAAATGCAAATCCATGGGAAACAAAATGCGCCAAAACGTCGCTCTGGGGTTCGTTGCACTCCTCGCAGATCTGAAGTTTATCCTGATGTGTGTTCTGGATGTGAGCGCGTCGGGAGCCTAAACATCACAACATCGTTAACATCAAGTTAAGAATAGTTGTGTCAACTAATTTGCCACCGAATGACAGCACTTACTGGGAGTTGCGGTCGATATTCCACAGTAAGGACAGGCGTATTGATGGGGTTCGGTCTCCAAGTGATGAATGTATGACTCTTTCATACCGAAGAACGTATGACAGGCTTTACATTTGAAATTGCGGGGTTCTGTCCGATGAAAATGACCCGAAGCTGTGAACTTATTGATGTGTTGGTCGGTTATGAGATGAGCGACTAAATCCTCATCGGAACCAAAGTATAGGTCACAATAGGCGCAGACAAACACCTAATTATTGCAATAAACAAATTATATAAGTATTGAGTTTACAGTTTGATAAGTGATTCAAACAAATGTGTGTATACTTCGTCGGGATGTGTGATAATAGTCTTCTGCGTGTGATTCGTAGTAATCATATGTTCCTAAAATAGAAACACAAACAATGAGAAAATGAACTTAAATGCGAGAAGTGTTAAGCAAAACATACGTGAAAAGCTTCGGCGGAAGTGAACTGTGCCTTACAGTTGGAGACATTGCACTGAAACTCTTTGTTCAGTTTATGATAGTTAGCCATATGAAGGTAGAAAAGACGATACACTTTCACCATTTGGTCGCACATTCGACACCAATGACCCACAATTGTGTCCACTTTTGATTTTCTAAGATCTTCTTCGGGCGTCAAGTCATCGATGGTCAGCTCCTTGACTAACGGCGGGTCAATGAGTTGTGCGGTAACCGTAGTATTGGTATACCGTCTCAGATCTGACACCCATCGCATGTGAACGTGATGTTGATGGAGAAGACATATCTCGTTGTTCTCAAACTCATCGCCGCATAGAAAACAGATGGCGGCCTCGCCCTCCACGGGCTCCGATTTGGCCATCAATTGTTTGCTCTTCTCGTCTTTGTCTTTGGAATCCCTGTTGTTATGTCCAGCCATTGCACACGACTGGGCGTGAGTTAGCAAGTCTTTGCCGCGACCGCACGGCTTAAGACAGGCCACGCATGAGAACTCTGTGGGTCCGGTCTGAACCATATGAGACTGTTGTATGTGTTTATTGAGGCGATCGATTCCGATAAGCAATCCGTGACAGTAATAGCACTGCATATTCTGAGTGGAATTGTTAATCATGTGTTTGGCCCGGAAGTGAGTCTTGAGGCGAGTCAGGTCTTGCGTAATGAGGACGCAATTCTTGCATTTATATGACTTGCATTTGTGCTCGTCTTTCATGTGCTTGTGATGAGACTCGAAGTCTTTTGATTGATGTTTGCATTGCGAGCAATAGAAGAAGAGATGCATCCGAAGGATCTCTTCCTGTTCTATCATTGTTACCTCTTTGTTGTGCTCCAGACAGTAGTGCTGTTTCATGTTCTCGATGTTAATGAGTCTGACCTCATCGCCGCAGTACTGACAGGGGGCGTTCAATGGGATCGCGTTGTTGTTGCTCTTCAACTGTTGCAGTATTGTCTTCGGCAGACATATGAAGACAATGTCTTCGGAGAACTTGGCGTTCGCCGTCACGACATCCAACTCGTGGAGCGTCCGGTAGTGAGAGATAATGTCCTTCTCCTCTTTGGTCGCATAGCTCACGTCAATGCCTTTGCAAAGCAGACACACGTATCGGTTCGGCTCCATTGGCGACACGATCTGCCGGAATAGGAACGACTCCTCTTCGTGTTCAACACTCAGCGCCAGATTGAGTGGCAGTTCTGAGTGAAGGAGTAGTATTTTGTCCGGCAATTTGGTTAACTGCGAGTCGTTCTCCACATCAAGAGTGCATTCGTGAAGTTCTGGCAAACCGTCGATGTATTTAGTCATTGGTGTTGTAGTGCGGCGTTGAGTGGTCGCCACCGGAGTCTTCTTCGGTTGGGCCGACGGTGTCGTCACAAATTTGGGCGTTATTTTGGCCGCCGATGTCTGACCACTCATCTGAGACTTCAATTGTGTTTGAGATATCGCTAACAGTTTGGGCGACGATATTGTTTGTTTGGGAGTCACTCGAGAGTACGTTTGAATCACTTTGGGTTTATCGCCGGGCGTTTTGCCGTCTGTACTCTTCCGACCTCGAGATGGCTTATAGTCGTCATCCATTGGGTCTGCTTTAGCGCCCGCGTCGTCGCATTCAATGTCAACCGATTCCAACTTTTCGCCTACTTTTTTGGTCCCTTTGAAGGCAACCTTTTTAGTGCTAGTCGTAGACGCGTCCACCTATTGGCCAACAAATTACAACTATTTAGAGCTAATCCTCGACACAACTTAACAACAAAAATATACTTTAATATTAGTTCCGTCGGGAAGAGTGACCACAAGTTTGCTTCCGTCGCCAATCTTCGAAACGCCAACGTTTTCAATGGTGTGGACAACAGATTCACTGTTCGCGCGATTTGTATTGGCTTTCCGTCGCGGAGGCGACACATCGGCCGTGAGTTTGAAAGTGGGCGACACCGACACCATGTCTTCGTCGTCGCTCTCATTTACGTAACGAGTACTCGAGGAAGTGGTCGACGGAAACTTAATGGCCGTTCTCTCCCTTTTGGGCGTATCGAATGGCGGCGGAGAGTAACGGGCCTTAGACTTGATCTGATCCCTGCGTCTCAACGAAGTGCTCCCTTCAGCCATAATTCCTGCCATTAAAACAAATAACATTTTAATTATTATACAAATACTTTATCAAAAAGTTTTAAATATTATTTATGTTAATATGACAGTCATTTGGACACAAGAACAGACCTCTCTTAGCGGAGTCAGTGTTAGGAACATATCTGTCCTCTTCTTTAATCGGTTCCTTCGGTTTTCGACCCCTCTTTCGGTTGGATTCGCCCTCCGTTTGACTCTCACTGTTCTCTCCAT